GAGCTTTGCAAGAATTCTTTAGCCTGGAGAAGCTCTCAAAGTTAATGGAGTCCAACCATTCCTGCAGGAGTGCCAAGCTCACCACTGAACCATGTCCCCAGGTGCCACATCCACACTTCTTTTAAATGCTTCCAGAGATGGTGACTCCAGTGCCCTGGGCAGCCTGTGCCACTGCTGGCAACTCTTTGGTGAGGAAATTTTCCTAATATTCAATCTAGGGCTCCACTGGTGCTACTTGAGGCTGTTTCCTCTTGTCCTGTTTGTTACCTGGGAGAAGACACTGCACACACACACAGACACAGACAGAGGGACAGATGGGCATGAGGCATGGGAATTCCCTTTGACTCCTCAGGCACAAACCTATGGGATGGTCCTTTTTTTTTTACACAGCAGATAAAAACTGAAGCAGTGAGCTGTATCCTAACCAGGGAGATGGGGGTAGAAAGATGCTTTGAAAGGGGATAAAACTTGCTGCCAGGCTTTCCTCCGTAAGCAAGTTCAATTTCTTTCTCCCTTTTAAAAATTATTTTTCTTTTGGTGCTGTGTTATTCCTCCGTGGGCAGGAGGCTGCAGGCATTTCAATTTTTTTCAAGTTCTTGTTTTAAAAAGGGCCCCAAATATGTTCTCTTCTCAGAGGCAGTAAACAGCAAGTGCACAATGCAGCTTCTCTAAGCCTCTCTTCTCCTGTCTCAGGGAGAAAGGAATTCTCCAAGCCCTAGAGCCTGAGTCACTCGCTGTGTGAGCATGAATTAACCAGGAATGTTCGAGAATTATTCCTGAATAATTCATGAACCTGAATTAATCATGCATTTTCATGAATTATTCATGAATAACTCATGGAAATGCAAGGTTTATTCATGCTCCAAAAAACCCAAGGCTTTTTCCCTTCTCTTCTGCTTTCTCTCCCTGTAAGAAACAGACCTGAAACAAGCTAAGGAAAAAAATAATATATGTATATGGGAAAAGAACAGGAATAATAATGCTGAAACAAAACAACCAGGACAAAAGAATGTAAAGCTCTTTCTTTCCTTTGCAGTGGGGACAGCAGGTGGGAGCTTTCCAAGCCAGACAAAGGAGACCTGACAAGGACCTGTGGTGAAGGGACAAGCCCAAGGCAAGGAAGTGTTCGGTCACCTCCTCTCCTGGAACAGGCAGCAGAGATCTGGAAAGACAGGAGACATCTTGCAAGACTCAACACCTGGAGCAGTGCTAACCAGGCAAGGAGCAGCTCTGTTGCTATCAGGATTGTGATCTCTCTCTTTTTTTCTCTCTCTGTTTTTGTGTTTGTGTAGTTTTGTTGCTTTCATAACGGTAAATGAACAACTGGTTTGGTGAAGGAAGATCAGTGTGTTTTCTTTAAATGGTAAAGGAAAATCCCCTAGAGAGCTGTTTGGGCTGGGGTTGTTTGCTGTCTGGAATGTGGAGCTCTGTTTCTGAGAGGGAGAGGGCTCAGCTATGCATTTATCCCAGTTTCTGCTCTGTAGCCTTTCTTGTGTTTGGGAGAGGGCTGGGGGCAGCTGCCTGGTTCAGGGAAGGGATGTAGGGAGACAGGCACACAGTTCATTTGTATATGGTGCTTCCTGATAAAAAAAATCAATGCCAGGGTGTGTATCAGTCAGGAGAAAAGGGCTGGAGAAAACCAGGTGTGAGACTGTGCCAGCAGGGCAGACTGACAGGTCTGGGGAGAGTTACAGTTCCTGCCGGGAGCTTTGCTGCAACTGATGGTGGCTGAGATAGGGAAAGAGAAAGTTCTCCAGGGTGAACTTGAACCTTCCAAGTGAGAGGAATCAAATCCAGGCAGGACTTTAATGGCGGTGTGGAGGCAAAACAAGAAACTGGAATAAATTGGTCCTAGCTGCCTTTTCTGCCAGCTCCAACTCTCCCTCTGCCTGCCCCAGCTTCCTCCCATTTTCTTTGGACACTCTGGCCATTCTTCACTGGCCACAGCACATGGGCCCAGCCTTGTCCCCAGAACCCTTCTGGCAAATCCTGCTGCCAAGCAGAGCAGGCAGGACTGGGGTGATGCTGCCTGGGCCCTTAGGAGCTGGAAAGAAACTGCTCCTGAACTCAGCAGCCCTTGGCTCCTCAGCTGCTCCTCTGGCACAGGAGATTTTGGAAATCACCACCAGCCTGGCTCTCCAGTTTCTCCGATGGTTGAAGTCTGAAACTCCAGGGGCAGAAAGGGAAAGCTCAGTGGGCAGAGCCGTGGGCCAGGATTTAGGATCCAGCTCCTTGCAGCTTTGTTGCTTGACTGGCTTAGACATTTCTATTACTGGTCTGTGCCTCAGTTTCCCCATGGGTGAAATGAAGGGAATTTTGTGTTCTTCTTATAAAAGCATTTTGATGTTTACTGGGGGAATAATTGTGGAGGCAAGGGAACAATCATTTCCTGGAATACCCCTGGGTCTTTTTGAGTCTCTTCTCTGCACTGCCTTGATATCACACAGACACAGCCCTGCACTGGAGCAAACTGCTGGAGATCCACTGAAGTCATTTGAGCTGTGATGGTTCATAGGGGCAGAGAAACCATCCTGTGTCTGCTCAGTGGCTTGTTCAGCATCTGCTCAAAGTGTCAGCTGTGAGGGCTGGCCCTGCTTGATCCCAGGTGAGACCTGCCATGGCTGTCACTGCAAAGGACACTTGGATGCCCTGAAGGCATGTGGTGCTGTGCTCAGTCAGACCCAAAACAGCCTCTTAGCAAAGGGCTTTAGGATAAGGCAAGCTCAGAAAGTTGGGAATAGGAACAGAGAAATAACTGGTAGAGAAAATGTAAGGCCAAGTATTTTATATCTGCAGGTTGGCTGGCCTGGGTAATGCACAGCTTGTGAACACTCCCACTCACAGGAGAGCCCAAACCCCTGTGGTGACATTCCCACACTGTCCCTCTGCTCCAGGTGGGCAGCCCTGATGTCAGCCAAGCTCTACGTGCTCATCAGCTGGCCCGACGGCAGCCGGGTCATCAACATGGAGAACATCAAGGAGCCCCGCAAGCCCTTCCACCTCTACACTGTGGGGGAGCAGGTCCTGGCCCGCTGCCCTGGATTCAGTGGGCTGTACTGGGGTGTGGTGGAAGGCATAAGTGGTAAGTGACACCCTCCTGGCCTGGGTTTGCAATTTGGGGCTGCTCAGGAGCAGGAGGAGTTTAGTGCTGGAAGATCTTCTCTTCTTACAGAGCACAAAGGTATTTTGGAGAAGAAGCTGCTGGAAGATCGACAGTTCCTGGAGAAGTTAAGTGAGTAAGGGCTTTTGGAAATTGCACCTTTCAACTTCCATGGAGCTTTTTGGGTGGGAGGATGCTGAGTATGTTGTAGTCCCATCATAAATTTCACATCATTGCAATCAGTGTACAAAGCACTGAGTGGGAGTGGAAGACAGACACGTTGCTGCCCCATTGCTCATCCTGAGTATCTCCCTTCCTTTCAGAAGAAGAACCAGCTGTTCACAGCATGATGCCATCCCCACCAAAAAAATCCAGGAAAACCTTTCCAAAATGGACTTCAGGGAATGCATCCAGGAAATACCCCAGTGACAGGAACTATCCTGCAAAGACACTGCTGAGGGTGGCTGAGGCCAGCCTGCCCCATGATGCCAGCAGCTCTTCCATCAAGGACAGGCGTGTCCTGGGGAGCGTGGCAGGGAGTCCCTGCTCATTGGCAGCTCCCCCCCACCCAGCCAGTGCCTTCACACCTCCATCCACCTTCATCACCATGGCCATGCCAGGGCCAGGAACTTCCCAGAGTGAAGAGGACAGGGCTGGTCCAGCTGCCAGAGGTAACCTTGAGTTCTGGCTCTGCTGCCTGGTCCTGAGGGACAGGGTGGGATGGGGACTTGCAGAGCAGTCAGAAAACCTCTGCTTTGCTCCAGGGCTGTATGGGTTTGTCTCAGGGCTACAGAGGTTAGAGATGGCATTTCCTGGTCCTTTCCACCTGGGAGATCTGTTCCAGGAGGGCTGTCTAAAGGGAGATGCCTGTATGTAGTGTATGGTCTCTGCTCTGTCAGGCACCAGCTGTTTCCTGGGCTAGCAGTTCTCTCCCCCCAAGCCAAAAAACAATCTGAATGAATGAATGCCTGAATAACTGAAATTCCCAAAAGCCCTGTGTCTCCATTAGTCAAACCTTCTCAGATTTGCCTATTTCCCTATTTTTCCACCCACTACTGCACCCATTAAATGCACTTATGAAATATGCTAGTGTCTTATTTACCTGCTGACTAACAGCAACATCCAGAGACGAGTTGGCTCTGCTTGCCTTGCCCCCACCATATCATTTGCACTTAGAACAGAAGCCCTTGAGATGCCACTTTTTTCTAATAACAAATCCCCATTGATCAGTCCTGGAGAGCCTGTCTGGATCATTGCTATGCAAATGGAATAAGGTGTTGTCATGCAATCTAGCAGGGATGCTTAGATAATCTGTTCTGGAGACAGAGGGGTTCAGGACCTTTTTAACAGCTGATTTTTCAGCTTCTCTCTCACCCTTGCTGCAGATTATGTTGCCCTTCCAATGAAGAGGAAGTCTGATGGCATCTTGTCCCCGTGCCAACAGCAGATCTGTCTGAACAGGTAACACCTGAAAGCACAGTAAGGAGCCTGGATGTTTCACACCACACATTGATTTCTGTCCACACTGTCTCCATTCTCTGGCAGTGCTTGCTTTGAGTAGATGCTCATGGAGGTTGAACCCAAAGCACAGAAGATAACAGGAGTTTGTGTGGGCACACACAGCAAGAAATGAGCCTGTGCTCTGATTCCATGGTGGGTCAGTGGGAGGTCCCCGATATCTGCGTGCCAGGGGGATGCAGAGGAGTTTGTCCACATTGAGAACCCCTCATGTTCCCTCTCAGTCTATTTTATTCTTGTTGCAAATGAAACCAGAATTGACTTTGCTTTGAATTCCAGATAATTCTCCTCAGGAATGGATTTGAATATGAGCACAAAGCTGTTTGTGTCAGTGCTGTTTAACTTGCTTGTTTCTTCCAGCCGTGAGGAGCACAAGATTGATGCTTTGCAAGAGATGGATGGCTTTGAGAGGGCTCACAAAAAATTCAGTCCTGGTGAAATGGAAAGGTAATTAGCAAAAGAAGGCACTTGTTCCCAACTGTGTTCTCCTTCTCACTACAAAAGTGAGCAGTGAGATCACAGATGGGTGACAAAGTGGGGCAATCTTAAACTCTAAATTTGCTGAGTCTCTTTACAATCAGACCAGGTGTTTCTGATTGTAGGGCTTAGAGATGCAAGAAGGCTCTAAAACAGTGCAGAAACTACAAAGCTCTTGCCTATAACAATCAAAACATGGTTGTGTGTTCCTTGTCTTATTGCTCATTACTTTGATAGCCAGTATGCAGTGATAAAGTGATGCTAGGGACGGTTTTCTTGCAAAGAAATGGGTGCCAAAAAAAATTCAAGTTATGGTTCTTGCATTGTCATTTCCCACAAGTCTGTTGTTTAATACCACAAATATATGTGTCCTGGGACTTGCAAGACAGGATTTATATCTTTCCTTACAAATAAGAAGAAAACTGAGCATCAAAGTCTCCATGTATGCATGCCAAGGGGGAGCTGAGGGTTAAACTGAACATTCCTGAGCACTGAAAAGTCCAGATCATGTCATTTTAATCTCCTGCCTTACTCCTCACACAGGAATAGCTGGTAGGGCTGATAGTCTGTCAGAGGAGTTGTCCTGCCCTGCTGGCAGAAAGCATCTAATCACTGCTTGGGTGGAGAAGTGACATCCACAGTGAGGACATGGTGTCTTCTTGCCTTTGCATGAGCAACTTTAATTTTTCAGGGTGAAGAAGATGGAGCAGCTGGAAAGGATGGTGTTGGACCTCCAACAGGACGTCCTCTCTCTGAAGAAGAAAGTGCAGAGGCTGGAATCCCTGTCCTTCCAGGAGGAGCCCCACCGACAGCCATGTGAGGTGGTGGAGCTCTTCAACGGCTACACCAAGGAGCAGCTCAAAGAGACCATCAGATTTGACCAGAAAATCAGCACAGCCTGCAAGACTCTGCTCTACAAACTCTTCACCTCTGACTACATCCAGAGCCACTCCATCACAGGGCGCAGGGGCAACACCTTCCGGGAGGCCAAGCCCATGATGGACGAACGCTGCATCAAAATCATCCGGGTGCTGCTGAAGCAGAAGTTTGGGGATCACCTCAGTGACACCGTGATCACAGAGAAGATCCAGAATGTGCAGAAAGCCCTGAGGCAGAAGTTTAAGACAGAATGAATCTGAGGAGTGGGAGATTTGGTGTCTCCTCCTGCCATTCCCGTGTGTGCCCCTGAGCAGCCTTCCCAGGAGAGATGAGCCGAGCAGCTGCTGCTCAGCAGATTTCCCCCAGGGAGCCAGCCCAAGTGAGCCATGTGCTAAACACAGCTCAAACACTGCCAAACCTCTGCCTCCATTAACTGAGCAGGAGCTGGGCCCAGCTTGGCTTGGTTTTTGCACTCTACAAGTTCCTTCCCATCCAGTCTGTGTGAGAACCTCACTGTGGGTGCATGGAATCACCTCTATGACTCTGATGGTGCTCAAAGGCTTCAGGGCTCCATTTGAGTCCAACAATGGGTCAGAAAGGTAGCCTTGTTCCACACTGCAGAAATGTTGGCTTTGGGATGGGGAATCCAGCTGCAGACAGCCTTTGTCACCCAATGTGGCTTCTCTCTCTCTGCCTCTGGTTGCCTCCTTCTGCCTGTGGGACAATATTTACTCTTTCCTCACAGTGAATGTTTTATTTCCAGCACTAAAGAAAGGCAGACTCATTAAAATGACACCTTAAAACATTCAGAAAAAGATATCTTGATTTTTTTCTGCCTATTTGAATGTAGCTATAAGGAGGAGTTGTCTTCCCTAACAAAAGCCTGCTGAACAAGAGAAAGGGTCACCCATGAAAGTTACATTAATTTTCCTTTCTAGACCAGATTATTTCCATACAGGATAAATCCCTTACATTTTTATGACACAAGAGTGAGGGTTGGAGGACAAAATATGGCCCAACTTTGCTTCAAAGATACACATATTGTGGACACTGTCAGTGTTATTTAAATACAGTATTTTTATCCTAGATAAGAAATGCCGAGTACAAACAGACACTTTGCTGAGGGACTACAGAGAAGGTCTAGAAAGACACATCTTTTCCCAAATAATTCAGAGCTGGAGTATGGGTGGGTTAAAATTGTTCTGAGCATTAAAAGAATGAGATGCTGACACCAGTCCAGCACTTAACAGAAGTGTTGCAAAATACCAAACATTCCCTTTTACAGAGGCTTCTCAGACAAGGAACTGGTTTTCTCAGCTTAATTTTTAAATTATTGAGGAAAAAGAAATGCCAGTGGGTTTGCATTAATCAAAACATTTGGTTTAATTTATATGTTTTGTTGTGTTTTCAAATATTTAATTTCTTCACAGTTAACATGAGAAATAATAATGTGAAATAAATGTATTGGAGAAACAAGGAGCTGTTTTGAAAGGGAAAAAAAAAAGAAAGGTGTTATTCTCAGAATTTTCCTCCCAATTCAGCCTCTTTATTTTAGCTCATCCATTAAAGTGGGATTAATGCTGTTGATGCATTTTGATTTTGGAGGGAGATAGGCTTGCCATTGTTTCTAGCACTATTTTCATCAGATGTTTCTAACAGTCATGTTAAATTGCAGAAGTAATAACTAAAGATATTCCTTCTGTTTTCTCAGTGCAAATGCTTTTCCTAACTATTGTGCAAACGCATTGGTGATGATTTCTGCTTTGTAGGGAGCTTGGCCTGAGCAGCAGCTGGAGCAGGTCTGCTGTGGTCATTTAGAGCCCAGAGTGCAGCTAGTCCTAGAACTGAGCAGAACTGCCCCAAAACCTCCCCAGTGAGAAACACACCTTGAAACACACCAGCCCTGCCAGAAACCTGGGACCTTCCCACCACAGGCCTTAGGCTGGAATCACTAATCAGGGAAATGCCTTGATGATGTTTTGAATGTCAACTTATCAGAGAGAAGATTGAGGAGGTACAACCAGCCTTGTCCTGCAGAACCTCACAGCAAATCTTCCTCCACCCCCTGCCATGGGCAGGGACAACTTCCACTGTCCCAGCTTCCTCCAAGCCCTGCCCAACCTGGCCTTGGACACTTCCAGGGATGGGGCAGCCACAGCTTCTCTGGGCATCCTGTGCCAGTGTCTCTCTCAATCTCTCCTCTCAATGTTCATCACATTCCTCACCAAGCTGCAGCCTGGAAAGCCAGCTCATGAATGTTATTTATTAAAATAAGTGCTGCTGCTGTCCTTCCCCTGCTGAGCCCCCTGTGATGAGCTGCAGATCATTACTGTGAGCGAGGGGAGAAAAAAGAGCCAGGGAATGGACATGCTGCGGGGTGCCACGGCTCCCGAAACGCGCCGCTCTAATCGCCTCCCCTAGAAACTGATGAGCTGGGTGACCTTTCTGCTTGAAAAACCCTTCGGTGGCTCCCTCAGAGGTAACTTCCCAGCCTAACACACTTGCTGGTATTCAGGAGTGCTCCTGGTAAGTGGGCTGATGGATGCTCTGCGTCTCCGTGGGCAGCACAGCCACAGCACTAATGAGCCAGCGCTCAAATGGGCGCTTCTCGGCTATAAAAGTTGTCCTCAGATATTCTCAAAGGCTTTGATATGGTAGAGAGGGTTGAAGAACGGCAACGCAGGCGGCTTTTTGTCAAACTTCATTTTTTAAAGTATTTGTGAGCCAGAGGCAACGTTTGCAGGCTAATTGGGAGCACGGGCAGCCGCTGGTGATCAAACGTCAGCGCGAGGATGGTGATGCTCTCACCTCCCTGAACTCTCCAGCTCTGGCTAATCAGCCTCCAGAGGGAGGATCACACAGCACTGGCATGTGGCATTCCCTAGGGGATGCAGGGGTCAGGGCAGATAGAGGAGGAGGAGGAAGGTTTGTGCCAGAACCACTTCACTCGGGGATGTTCAAAGCCTGTGTCTCTAAGTGGTGAAGGGCTGCTCAATTGAATAGAATTAACTTCCCACTTTAAATGAATTACCAGGAAAAAGTGGTCAGCACTTGCTGTTGAGATTAATTTCTCTGCTGAATCTGCAGCATCTTGTTAAAAATGATGCTCCTGCTCGGCTTCTGGGGTGAGGTGGGTGCAGGAGGGCGTGGACAGCAAAAATGAGGGTCAAAATGCAGGGGAGGTCTCTGGGGAGGTTTTGCATTTGGTTCAAAAGCAAGAGAAATGGTGCTTGTCAGCGTTTGCAGAAGCAGGATGGGAATGGAACATCCAGACCTCTCTCCTTCCAGGAGGATCTGGAGCAGCAGGGCTGACCTCAAGTTGGGTTTAACCAAGGTGTGCAGGGACCTCAATGGGCTGTGGGGCTCTCTGAGAGCCACTGGTCCCCAGCACCCCAAAACTGCGATGGGGCCCTGCCACACTCCCCACCAGCTGGTCACACTTCTGCTGTTTCCTTAGGAACCAGTTAAAGCTGCATGTTACTCGCTGACAGCAATACACAGGTTTTCAGGGAAAGATGGGAACCTTTCCAGCCTGCTCTGTATCAGCCTTTACATTTTAAGCTGGGCCAACACAAGGCTTCTCATGAGGGTTTCTTTTTATGAAATTTCATAAAAATCATAGAATTGTTTGAGTTGGAAGGGACCACTAAAGGCCCTCTAGTTTCAACACCCTGGAATGAGCAGGGACATCATCACTAGATCAAGTTGTTTAAAGCATCATCCAACCTGACTGTGACTGTTTCCAAGATGATGCATCAATAGCTACTCTGGACAGCCTATGCCAGTGTTTTTAAAAGAAAAAAAAATTCCAGTTATAGAGGTGCTGCTGGCAGCATGATATTTTGTGGGGAAAAAATACTGGCCCAAACAAGAGAGAGAGATTCTTTGGTGTTTAACCCCATTTATTTAGAATTAATTTCCTTGACCCTGCCAGGGGAGTTCCATGTTCAGCACAGGCAGATTTCAATTTTCCCATTATGTGGCCTGTAGGAAACACTCACTGCTGAGTCTCTCAATGCCTGCACTGTGTGCATCCCCCAGAAACCAAAACACATTCACTTAATGACATGCAGACTGTGAGTATCAGATAAAGGAATGATGTTAAAATGGAGCTAAATCCCTCCCTGGGTTTTAATTGAGGCTTACAAAGCCTGGCTGCCTTTCTGTGAGCCCCAGACAGCCATCACTGAGTCTGCCTGGTGCTCCAGTCTGGATGGATGCACTTGGAAAAATCCTCTGTGCAGGAGGAGTGGGGCAGTGGGTGGTGGAAGTGTCTTTGGTTTGATATCCTCCATCAGGCAGCTGCAGGAACAGGGCGATGAAAGAAATACCAGAAGGACAAACCTTGGCTTGTATGAGGTTGGAGTTGTGTGTCA